GCGGGGGCCGGGACGGCGGTGGGTGTGGGGAGCCCCGGGTCCTGCTCGCGGTGACCCCCGGCCGGCCCTCCCCCCGCAGGCGGCAGCCTCGGGTCTCCCGGAACGATGGTGAAGTTGGGGAACAATTTCGCGGAGAAGGGGACCAAGCAGCCGCTGCTGGAGGATGGCTTCGACACCATTCCCCTGATGACGCCCCTCGATGTCAATCAGCTGCAGTTCCCGCCTCCGGATAAGGTACGGGCCCCTCCGGCACCCCCGAACCCCCGCGCTGCCGCGGGCGCACCCCCAAACCTCGGGCGGCGGCCGCAACAAAAGAAACGCGCCGCGTGCGCTGGGGACGCGGAGGGGGGCGGGCTCGGCCGGCAGAAGGGAGCCCGCTGAGGACAGTGTACCCGCGCGGGATCCTGGGTCGGCGGGTGGCGGGGGTCCCTGCCTTAGGTGACAGTTTCGTCCTGACAATGGCTTGATATTCGGGGAAGTCTCGTCCGAGAAAGGTTCCTGGCCCCCGCTGCCCTGCTCCTGTCTCCGCCCATGGTACCAGGGGTCTCGGGGTCTGGGGTGAGCCCAGGGGCGCGGCTGCCCGGGTGCCTTCCCAGTGGGTGCAGTTTCAACCACTGAGGCAGGGAAGCCCCTCGTGGGCCAGCAGGCTTCATCCCCTCCTTGTCCTTTCTGCCTGGCCCTGCTGGACTGGCACGAGCTGCTGGAGGGTGTGTGCTGCCACACAGAGCCTCTTTCCTCTTTGTTTCCTCCCGTGAAATCTCCAAAGTGCTGCCAGTGCTCACCCAGTGCTGCCGAATTTAAAGAATCTCCTCTTTTCTTGAACACAGCATCCGAGAAAGTAGTTTCTATCCATTAAGGATACTATTTTCAAGAGTTAACACTTAAAAAGGTTAATACAATCTTTAAAAGTCTCGACCATTGTAGGGGAAAACTCAAATTTAAAATCATAAACACAGGATCCACCCTGACCATCTTGCTGCTTCTTGAAACCCACCTGGCCTCGAATAAGATCACGCTATTATTCCCCAAAGTACGTTGACATTTCGCGTCTCAGTCAGTCCCCGCTGAGGAGGCTCTGACTCAGGGCTTCGCGTCCCCTCTGGAGCGCTGGTGATTGCTGACCACCGGGCAGGGTGGAGTGGGGAAGGGACGTCCCTGTGATGGGATCTTCTCTCGTGAGGCTTCCTTTATTCCCACGGCTCAGCTCCCCAGGTGGTTCTGACCCTCCCAACTCCATTGTCTATGTTTTGGGTGAGAGGAGGCAGGGTCAGGGAAGGGGCTAGCGGCAGGTGTTTCCGTTTGAAAAAGGGGCACACCTGTGTACCCCAGGCCATGGCAGGGCCACTGCAGGCGCTGGTGGACTAGGCTGGGCTTTGCAGAAGGGGCCGGCTGCCTGCAGCCTCAGCTTCTGCTCCACGCTCCCTGACTAGGCGTCAGACTTGTCCAGTTAGCACAGCCTGGTCCCCCAGCTGCTCAGCTGAGGAGCAGTCGTGGCCCGTGCCAGGAACTCCATGTCCCGAGGCAGCACCTCTATCAGGTGATTCTTTCTGCTTGACCTGAGCCTACTCAATGCCCTCAGTCTGTTCCATTCCAGAACTGCCTGGCATGGTTGGCTTGTACAGGGAGGAGGATTTCAGGCAGGTATGAAATCCTGGCCAAACAATCCGGTCTCCCAGGAGTAGCCTAGGCAGCTCTGAAAGGTAGTGAGTCTCCTGTCCGTGGAAGTGTTCAAACAAAGGGGGGCTCCAGACAAGGGAATTCCAGCAGGGACCCATGGGAAGGTCTCTGAGGTCACAGACCAGGAAACTGAGTCTGAGAGTTTACAGGATGTGCCCAAGGTCACTCAGCTGAACGTTATAGTCCTCCAGGATGCAGAAGATTCTGGCAGTGCCTCTTGCTTTGCCCTGCTTGGAGCCAGACAACTCTCACATAAGATGCCCCTTAACACAAACAAGAACAAAGTGCTGCTCACAGTCAGGGTTCAGGGGGGCGATGCCACCTGCCGCAGGTGATGGGGATTCTGGAGGGGCCGTAATACAGTTGGGTCGTGAATGGAATCTGTTCCAAGAACGTGTACTGAGTACCGAGGTGCTAGAGGTATACCAGTGACACAGTCACAGAGCTGGCAGCAGCATCAGGGACAGCCCAGCTGGCACTCGCTGGATGCTCATTCTGCACCAGGCACTCTACGCTGCTTCACAGGCGTGAATCCCTTCAGTGTGCTGACCACACCGTGTGGTAACTCCCATTGCTGCCCCCTTTTTACAGATGTGGAAATGGAGGCACAGAGTTTAAGGGGCTTCCCAAGGTCATCTAGCCTGTCAGTGGCAGGTGCGGGTTGAATGCAGCCGACAGCAGTGACAGAGCCTTCACTTTGGGCTGGGCTGCTGCACATCTCCTCACCCTTACAGCAGCCCAGTGACATAAGCCTTGCTCCCACTTCACAGGTGACCGAAGTGGCTCCAGGTGGCCAAGTGTGTGTTCAAGGTCACATGGCCAGTCGGGTACAGTTGGGATTAGAGGATGGCAGGGTGACACCCAGGTGCTGCCTCAAGGGGTGTGCACCCAGGCCGACTCATGCTAGGCACGCCCTCCTCTCCACCGTGGGAGAGCTGCGTGCCAGGGAATGAAGGGGACAGAGTGCCAGGAGTGTGGTTACAAGGTCTATGGCTCTTGTGATCTTTTTCAGTGACACCCCCATTCCTTCTCCGGAGGTCACAGCTGGACTGAGAGGCTCTCTGGCCATCTGCTCAGGGCCGATCATCCTGAGTTGCTGGACTCCCCTTATTCTGGTCTCAGTGTCATGCAGAGTGGGTGTCTCCCCAGGAAAGGGCATCTTCACTCAGGGAGGAGGAGCATGCAGTGGCTGGTTCTCTCCAGTCCGACAGTCACTCCCTGGCACCTGCTCTACAGTGGGGTTTGGGGATTAGAGACGTGTATGCCCTCGACACTGCTCTTGAACACTCCCTCATCCCTGGGGACAGAGAAGTAAACAGTCCTTGGCAACAGGGTGTGATGCAGGCGGTGCTGGTGAGGCCAGGGCTGTGAGCAGCCCAGAGAGGGAGCGGGAAAGGGTTTGTGCAGGGCAGGTCGCTTTCCAGGTTGGGAAAACATTTCCCGTGCAATAGAGGGTGGAGGGGGAGTGACAGCAGGGAGACCGTTTGGGGACTGTTGCAGGGACAGGGGCGGCCAGTGGGGTGGAGACAGAGGCTGACCCCAGATTGTTTCCTTAGGGGGTGGTGCCTGCTCCTTCAGCCTTGTCCTGGAGGGACTGGACAGTGCACTCAGATCTTCTCCTTTGTGCCCACCGTGGCATGTTAAGACCAGTGGAAAAGCACATGTGTTGTCCTCCCACCTCCCTGGGCCAAGGCTATGGCTCTGGCGGGTGGAGGGGCACTGGGTTAGGAGTCAGAAGTCACGCCGCCTCCCCGCCCTGCCACCTATGAGCCACATGACCTTGGCCACTGAGCTTAACTTCTCTGCCCCTGGGTTATAATATGTCCCTCCTGGGGCTGCTATCAGGATTATTAATGGCTAATTTCTCTGAAAGTCCTAGCACAGAGATTTCCAGTGAGTGGTGGCTGCTCTCACTCCTTTTGTGAATGACTTCATGGTGAAATGGTCACTTTGAACGTGCAAGCTCCCAGGCTCACCCTCTTGGGCAGATAGGTCTGGCACCTCTGGCTGGACCACTGACCCTTTGCTTCTTTGTTCTCTGGGTCAGGTGGTTGTGAAAACTAAGACTGAATATGAACCTGATCGCAAGAAAGGAAAAGCACGTCCTCCCAAGATAGCTGAGTTCACCGTCAGCATCACCGAAGGTGTCACCGAGAGGTTTAAGGTGAGTGGCCATGGCGGGGTGAGATGCTGCTTTTGACCCCAGGAGGGGTCTGCCAAGCTGCAGAGATGAACCACAGAGGGACAGGAATAGGATGTGACACTGTATCTGGGCTGATTCCAGGTGCACAAACCTGAGGGCTTCCAGCTGCCCACCAACGTGTTAACCTTGTGGTTTTTAAAAAAGTCTTTTTTTCTTCATCTTCCAAAATGATTATACGTTACTTATTTTTACAACAGGGAAAACCCACCCATAAACTTTCTTATAGACAAAGGTTATAAACATGAAAAATCACTTACCAAACATTAAAATGTCTCCCTAACAGTTCCAGGAAGGAAGCAGACAGTAACAAAAGGTTAGTGCACAGCACTCACTACGTGCCCCGCAGCGTTCGGAGCCCTTTTACCTATGTGAGCTCTGCTAAGCAACCTGCCACGGGAGGTTGGTACCATCGGTACCACCCATTTTGCAGATGGGGAGGTAGAGGCCCAGAGTGGTCACAGCTCTACGCAGCAGAGCCAGGATCCAGAGGGGTCTGGCTCTAGAGCCCTCCAGAGTTCCACCTCTATCCTTGGCCACCTCCTGACATGACAGAGGGACAGCTGCTGAAAGGGGCAGGTTCCAACAGGCCTCGGTGGGAGGAGCCTTCCCCAGACAATGTGGGCAGTCTCTGAGGTGGCATTGGTTGAGAAAGAAGTTGGGATAATGATCTTCTGGAAACTTATTCCTTGGGGAACACAAGAGAAGGAAAAATGGTGGCCCTACCCCGATTCAAAGGCGTGAGATGGGAGACATCGTTGGGTCCCCAGGCCTTGAAGGGTGGCTCCTTGGCCACCCCCCACTTGGATGTGCGAGCAGTTTACTTCTGCTGGGTGCACAGGCGCCCACACAGCCCACACCTGCAGTTCCAGAGCACCTTTGCAGATCGGATCCTGTTTGATGTCTACGACAACCTTGTGAATTACAGAAGGAGGGCCGTGGTGAGGGCAGGGGAGTAATGTGACTTTAAATCTCTCTTTCTTCCTATGGCTCCACACGGCCACTTAGGGCCTTCCTGGTCCAGTGGGTGCCGTGAGCATTGCTGTCTTCTGCATCTGTGAGGGGTTCACTTGTGTTCGCCCTTCTAATCCACCCAGCAGCCCCCTGCCTATTCCTACTAACACTAGGTGCTGTTCCTATAACCCATTTTGCAGGTGGGCAGTTGAGACGCAAGGGAGGTCTGCATCTGTGGTCTCTGCTGGTATGTAAGGACATTGTAGGTGCTCAGATGCTCTTTTGGTGGCTTCTGGCTTGGCAATGCATACATGTTTGACGTTCATTCTGGGACCAGGATGGATTGACTTGAGGTCAACACCTCTCTTCCGCTACATCTGGTGGGGTTAGCATGTGCTGCCACTTGCCTGTCCTGGCTCTTCCGCACCATGGGACCAGCTGCTGCTCTCTGGTTAAGGCAGGAGTGACCTGGATTTCAAGGTCATGATGTCCCTTGTTCCGCTGGCTGCGCGCCATCTGGGTGTCTGAAGGAGTCTCGGTTTCTCATGCTTCATTTGACCTCTGCCTCCCGCAGCCCTGGCATTTTGGGTCACCACAGAGTGGGGAGCAGTGTGGCACCTGGACGTCTGTTCCTTCATCTGTGAGTGTCTGTCCTATGCCAGGCTCTGTCCCCTACCTCTGGTGTCCTTTGTGCTTTTCCCACACGAGCACCTGAAGTAGGTCCCCAGGTCTCTTGCCTAAGGCATGGGTGACGCACATTTGCCACCAGGGTGCTCTGTAGTGCGGCTGGGACTCTGTGGTTCCCTGGCTGCTGTTGCCCAGAACCTGAGGGCTCAGAGCAGCACAGATGACCTCAGATGATTTGTGCCTGTCCAGGTGGAGTGGCTGCTAGGGCAGGAGTCCTGCCTTACCTCTCTGCTGCCACTTCTTATGGCTGTTTAGGAAGGTGATGTATGCAGTAGGCGCCCATTTCCTTAGTCTTACACACAGACTTGCTGGTGTCTTACTATGCTTAGCTTTTGTGGCCTCCTTTATGATTCACAATCACCCTGCAGGGGGTATCATTAGCCCCTTTTGCGAATGAGGCTGTTGAGTCCCAGGTGGTCCCAGGGCAGCGAGGGTTCTCCCAGTGACTCTCTGGTCCCAAAGCCAGTGCCTTTCCAACACACCTCCTGCTACCTGCACCTCTGTAGGGGTCTCCACCAGCCCCAGCCAGAGGCCACTGCTTCCAGCCCCCAGCTCCTTCCATCTCCTTGCAATGCCAGCTCAGATAGCTCCTCTGCCAGGAAGCCTCCTGAGTGCTTCTCAGTGGGGATTAGCCTCGCCCTCCTGTGTTTCCACGGCCCTTTGTAACGAGGCAGTAACAGCAGTCAGCAGTCACTGGCTCTCCCAGGAGCTGGTTCAGGCTTGTTATGCTCATTAACTCATTTAATTTTCATAAACACCTCATGAGATTGGCGCCATTATCATCTCCATTTAACAATCAAGGGGAAACCAAGGCAGAGAGCTTGAACCCAGGCAACCTGCTCTTGGCTGTGGCATTAGAGGTCATCTGGTATCTCCTGGAGAAGAGGTTCACAAGGGGAGCCCTCAGCCCCAGGCAGCTCTTCTGCTGCTGGATTGTTCCACTTCTACCAATCCTTCTCCTTTGCTGATTTAAACCTTTCCCAGAATTGCCACCCTGTGACCCTCGATCCTTTCCCCATCTTGGCAGTCTGGGGATATGTGGCAGGCCCAGCTACCCCAAGTCTTCCCCCACATAAACATTCTTTTCTCTGCTCTTCCTCATACGTCACAGTTTCCAGGCCCCTCGCCCCCCAGCTGCCTTGCTCTGAGGGGCTGGGCTGGCCCACGCTTCTCTTGGGTTTGAGGCCTGTAACCAGCTGTCCTGGCGAGGTCCCTGGGGTGGCCTTTTGAAGCAAAGGCTTCTTGACTTGAGTTGGTCACCTGGGGAAGGGAACTGAGCCATAGCCACCCCCTGGGATAAGAGCGTCAGCCAAATATGAAGGTGCAGGGACTCTTTGTGCAAACAACTTACTCACAGCTGCTCTGTGCCAGCCATGATAAGAGCTCCCGATGCCGTCTCCGCTCCAGTGCTTAATGCATGCTCAGTAGCAGCTTGATAAGTAAATGGATGATGAATTGTGCTGCTGGCCTCCTGTGAACGGGGGGCTTGGCCAGATTTCCAGTTCTGCCCATGGGTCCCCTGCTTGCTGAGTTAGTTCAGTGGCAGCTCACGTAATGGATCGGGCTGTGTGTGGATGTAAGCCCTACCGGTGACACTCACCAGGTCTGGCAGGTGACCTGCCCAAGGCCACACGCAAGTGGCAGAGGCAGGGCAGGAGCCAGGGCAGCCCAGCACACTCAGGCTGGCCAGGATACCCACAGGCCGGACGTTTGCAGTTCAATGACCTGCATTCTGAGGGCACCTCTTGACTTTGCCTATTCTGAGGCCCTTCTGAACCTGGAAGGGGATTTACCTAGCCCCCTGCCTACCTGCTGTGGGGTGTGTGCATGAGAGGCAGCCTCCAAAGAGCTGTTGCCTTAAGTGTGTCTGGGGCCACCCGCATTAGAATCACCTGAAGTTCAATTTTAACACAGGGACCCTGGACCCTGGGGATGTGCATTTTAACAAGCTCTCAGGTGATTCTAACACATATTGAATCTTCAAACCTTTCTGGATGGGGATGCATTTTAGCACAAGTGCAGGGCAGGACCAGGAGGGCTGGGGCCTTTTAAAAATGCCAAGAGTGCCCAATCTTCCGGAATGTTCTCCTGGCCTTTTATTGCCCAGTTATATTCCTGGTAGCCCTGAATGTGTGCACACAATGAGACATGCTGCTGTTATGTGAAGCTTTGGCTGGTCGAGGGTTGGGGGGCCTCCCTTTCTGGGAACTGGGGAGCGTGTGGGAACAGGCTTGATTGAGATAAATGTGCCGTGGAAGGTCAGAAGAGAGGACCTGCCTTCCCTGGACCGTGTGCGTCCCTCCTAGCAGGGGTCAGCCACAGCAGTAGCAGGTGCCTGGACAGCTTCCGTGAGCTCCCCAACCCAGCTGTCATCTCAGTGCTCTCCATCTCCGTGTGTGATCACAGGAATGAAATCCTGCCTTCGGATGTCGAAGCAACAAGTAAATAACGCATCCCCCTTTTGTCTCTAATTTGTGCAGTTCAGAGCACCTCATTTTTGTATGTCTTTGGATGGCATCCTTGAAATGAAATGTCTTTTTGGATGTTGCTTTATGATCATCGCTCGGGGATTAATCTCTAGGCTACAAGGTTGCTAGGCGGGTTGCTAGGTAACTGCTGCTGGGAGAAAGGATTCTGCAAGACTCTGCCACACAGGGATGGCTGGATGAGTCACCCAGCGGCGGCCAAAAGTCTAGGCTTCCGAGGAGGTTAGAGTCAATGAGGAAAGCAGTCATTTAATTAATTGGAGGTGTATTTACAGCGAGAATAAACGTGGGCAGAAAAGTGTCTTAAAGGAACTAAACCTAAACATTTTTTAAATTGTGCTTCTCACTTGCCCATGCAAGAGCAGCGTGTCAGGGTGCTGCTGGGGGGCTTCCTGACACCCACCTTCCCATCTTGGAAGATGGAGGGGCCATAATTAGGCAGGTGAAAGGGAAGTTCCATCAGGGCTTGCTCCAGTCCTCTGTGCTTTGTGGCAACCGTGAAGAGCTGTGGACACTTGGGGACCTGTGCACCCTCTCTTTGCCTGTGACTTAGAAGCCCGGGCAATCAAACCACACCCCTCACCTGGTGCCATGTTGCCTTTGGGGCCTTAAGAGATTCCCAGGTCGGCCTTGCACAGAACGGCTTTCACAGTCAGCACAGAGAACACTGGGAGAGAGTCTTAGGAGAGCCCCCGTTTGTCTGAATGGTCCTCATAGCTGAGTCAGCACTCCATGGGGGTGTCCCTTTTCACAAATGACCCCGTGGGTGGTTGTATCCTTTTCTCACATCCTTAATGACCTTGAGTTTCCTGTGCGCCCGTCTGTTTTCCACACTCT